CAGGTCTGAACCACATCCCACAAACTGCAGGCTTAACTGAAAGTGGCCTAAGAAGTGTTCCTGTCTCTAACACTCAGATGCCCAGCTCCCAATGGAGTCCAAACCCCAAATAAATCTGTTTTACGCTGCATAAAGCTTATACAGGGTAAACTCATAAATTATTCACCCTCTATAACACTGATAGAGAGATATGCACTGCTGTTTACCCCCTAGGTATTAATACATACTCTGGGTTAAATAATAAGTAAAAAGTGATTTTATTAAATACAGAAAGTAGGATTTAAGTGGTTCCAAGTAGTAACAGACAGAACAAAGTGAATTACCAAGCAAAATACAATAGAACACGCAAGTCTATGCCTAATACAGTAAGAAAACTGAATACAGATAAAACCTCACCCTCAGAGGTGTTCCAGTAAGTTTTCTTTTACAGACTAGTCTCCTTCTAGTCTGGGTCCCGCAATCACTCACCCTCCCTCTCGCCCCCCGTGGTTACTGTCCTTTGTTCCAGTTTCTTTCAGGTATCCTTGCTGGTGGAGAGGCTATCTCTTGATCCAGCTGAAGACAAAATGGAGTGGTCTCCCAGGGGTTTAAATAGACTTTCTCTTGTGGGTGGACGTCCCTCTCTCCCCCTGTGTAGAATCCAGCTACAGAATGGAGTTTTGGAGTCACATGGGCAAGTCACATGTCTATGCATGACTCAGAACTTACAGGTAGCAGCCATGGTTCACATGCTACCTTGAACATCCTCAAGTAGACTTGTTATGTGGATTGGAGCCTTCCAAGATCCATTGTCTGTTACGTGTTTCTTGATTGGACACTTAACTTGCAAATTCCTTTCTAAAGAAGCTGCCCAAATGACTTACTAAGGTTGCTTAAAATCAAACCACTACACAGCCAATATTCATAACTTTGAATACAAAAATGATACATGTATACAAATAGGATGAATAGATTCAGTAGAATCTTTATCTTTATCACATGTTATAAGGTAATATTTAAGTTTTTGTTTTATAACTGTAAAAAAATGCATGCTCTGAAACTGTGAACATCTCCTAACCATCTAGAAGGCTATCAAAACTAAATGGGCCATTGTGGGACATCACAATACAAAGACTTTGTTGGAAAAGGGGTTCATCCGATCAGCTTGAATTCTAGAATGCGGCAATAAAAATAGCGGACAAGAAAATTTTTCATATCTTTTTTGCTGTTTGGACTCTCACAGGGCTGGAGCTATGAAACAGAAGCAGACATCCCTAGAGTTAACCTGGGTTTGCCCTAAAAGACATTCAGAGAGTTGACAGATTACTACAACTCACACCTTTTAAAACCGTAGATTGTAACTCATTTGTGTATATATGTTTGCCTGCTTTCATTTTGTAATAACTCTCTCATTTCTTTTTTCCTAGTTAATAAATCTTTAGTTAGTTTATTACAGGATTGGCTACAAGCATTGTCTTTGGTGGGAGATCTAAGGTACAAATTGATCTGCAATAAGTGACTGGTCTTTTGGGATTGGGAGCAACCCGAATATTTTCTGATCTTTGGTGTACATCAACTGACCAGCACTAAGTCCAGTTTGACTGAATGACAAGATAGACTGGAAGACCAATGGGATTGTCTGTGACTCCACAGTAAGACTATCAGAGTTTGTCAGCAGTTCATATTTGTTACTGGGTTGGGGAAATTTAATTACAGAACATACAACCAATTTGGGATCCCTGAACTGCTTCTTGACAGTCTGTTTTGAGGTTGGCACTGTGGGTTATGAGCCACTCCAGATAGTATGACACCTATATACTAGTTTAGCAGACAAAGACAGGATTTTTGGATAAATGGCCTTGTTTTAAATTGGCTCAGCACTTTTGTTCTTATCCAGCAAAGGGCCTTGATCCCCGGAGGGCCCCAATGCATAGGGAAGGGTTGGAAGGATTGGGTTTACTGAGGCCACATCAGACTGGATGCATGTTTTGAGCTGAAGCTGTCATGCACTTAGTAACCACAAGGAATCCACATGGGTAGGGTTTTGAAGGATTGTTCCTACCAGAATCCATGTTGGGGTTTGGGTGATTTCTGGTACACTTATCAGCATGAGTGTAGGTACTTTTATTGTTTCAATATGGTTTCTCAGTAATACTTTTTACCTTAAGAATAAAACAGGTTGCATAGAAAGAACTCTGTTCTTATACTGTTGACAATCACTCTGTCAAATCTCTAAAGAGAAAGGAAGCAGTTGTTCTTGGGCAGCCTGTCTGCGGTGGGAATAACACAGCTAAGGCAGGGAACTGTGCAGTCTGGAAGTACCCCAGTCAGAAGGGCGTGAAATGCAGGTCTCCACCAAAAAGAAAACAGCTGGGGAGCTGGAAGCTTGACAGCAGGTGCCCTTAGTGGACCCCTGAGGGGAAATACAGGCAGTTGCCCTGAAAAAAAGTTTCAATCTCCCCACCCCCACATTTAGCCAGGAGGCTAAATTTATCCGGCTTTGGTAAGGGAGGGTGGGTTGCAACCCCTGACCCCACCTCATAGAGTCTTTTGGTGACACCTTCCTCCATGGCTCCCTGCATTGCTCTAACGGTTTAGCACAGTGTTCATCATTCAGTCAGGAAAAGATGAGAGCTTGCAACAATCCGGCTTTATTCCTTTCTCCACATGTTGTATTCTCTTTCATTGAGCATTTCCTGAAAGCAGAGTTAATTAAATTCCTATACATCATTATGCTATAGTTCCCCTCACCATTGAGGACCTCTTTATCATAACATCACTTTTGTGAGATTTATTTGAGAAAGCAAAATTAAACATGAATATCATGACCAGTTTAACATGTAACATTCTATTACATCCCCATAAAGGGTATATAATCATATAGATATAGAACTTGACACTCACTTTTTTTTTTAGTTAACTTCTAACTTGCTTGCCAACTAAGGTATTTTCTTTTGTGTTTGGGATGGTTGTTCTTTCTTTCATGTCCTTAGTATTGTAAAAAATCTTGTATATATACCTTGCAGGCAGTTTGATGTCAGAGTGAGTGAGAGTCTTTCTTGTAACAACAGGCGTCTGCCTTGCACTTGGTTCTTCTAGTGGTGTGTTGTTTTGAGAGTCTGTTCTGATATCAATCAGTAGCTTGTCAGACTGAGTGCCTTCCATGTCCTACTGATCAAATCTCAATGGAATGTGTATTTCACTTTCCTCTTCATCTGAGTTTTTGTCTTATGTTTGTAGTGGGCATATGTATTTGTGCCCATCCATACTATGTTATCTGAACAAAGATTTATCTCTTCAGTGCATGCAGCTTGCTTCCAACTCCATGATTTGTCCTGAGGAAATAGTTTATGCTGACAGCATCTCTCAGTTGTAGTTCTGGGAGATCTTTAACTGTGGATCATAGCAGGCCTTGGCCTTTGCATGTCTCTCTTTCTTTTTGTCTGTTACTCCTTCCACTACAGCTGGTTGGAGTAATTCTGGGGCTATAGGCACAATGGTACAAGTGTGTCACAGTTTCAAGGGAACTACCCCTGTATTCCCGCTCTGTGGTCCCTTGATAGCACCCACTTAAAGATTTCCAACTCAAATTCTTTCTTGGCCTGTCATATTATAATTTTATATTTAACCTGCCAGAGTGTGTGTACCTTCCTATTATCCTCACAAGGGTTTGAGGTCTACCTTTAGTCTGAACTTCTATTATGGTGTTTTTAAATAAACCCCAAGCTGCTTGCAAGCACTGAACTTTTGTTACAGCTCCTTTTAATTACTGTCTAAAAAGTATCCTAATTTTTGTGTAGTTCCCCCCTTTAATGTTAAATGTTACTGTGATGATTTTTTGAAATTATCCCCTTCCCCCCCACCCCCCACCCCCGATGTTAAATTTAATTACATTATGGTCACTTCTACTCAGAGGTTCAGCCGACTTGGGACTAAATCAAGAATTGTTCTCTCCTTATGGATTCCAGGACTACCTGCTCCAAGAGGCAGCTGTTTATAGTGTCTAGAAATTTTATCTCCGTTTCATGCCCTGAGGTGACATTTACCCAGACAATAAAAGGATAACTGAAATCACCCACTGGTAAAAGCTACCAGCTGTCTCTCTTGAAGGAATGATCCCCAAGCCCTGTCCCACTGGCATCACATTGTATGACTGTCTCTTCAATCATATTGTAATATGTTAGGTGTGGGTACTTGCTGTATTGCTTTTACCTTCTCACGGTCAAGTTGTAGTCCTTCGAAGGTCAGCAAGGGTTCCATGTATTCTACCACACTCAAACGCAATTTCATCTTATTTTAGATTTCCTTCCCTGGCGCTTTCTAATGCCCCAAAGAGCTTGCTATCTATGTACTTAGTATATTTTTGTTTTTGCCAAATCAAGTAATATTTCTTCAGTTGCAGGTATTTGGCAGTGAATTCTTTTTATGTTGGTTGGGTGTAAGCAAATGCAGTTTGCATGGGTTCTCAGTGGCCACCATGCTGCTTATCCAACTTGTGGGTTCTTTTTACTATAGCGCCAGTGCCTTCTTTTCTCCATTTGTGTTAGTGCTCCCATTATTTTTTGAATCTTAATGCACTGGGCACTCTGCAAGGCAGATGCCATGTTGGCTGAATCATTTTATCTGTTTCCAGGTGTAACATACCTAGAAGACGTCCCTGACTTTCAAAAACATCATGGTACTCTTTTAGCAGCTTTGCTGTGGGGATGCCATAGTGTATTGTTTGCTCTAGATATGGTGGTTGTTTTTCTGTTTCATTTGTATGTCTATCATTTGTCCCAGGTTTAGTGTCACTTGGTCTGTGCATTCACTTGTTTTGACTCAAAGCAGTGGAATCTATTTTTTTCTGTGCTACCTGAAATTTCAGCCTGTTTACTTTTCCTCCCTATTCTGCCTGTAATTTACATTGTCCTAGTGGTGTTGTGGTTGTGCCATCATTTAATTTTTATTTGGCTTTGCTTGGCTGCAATTTTACTTTCTTCTCGTGCATAATACTGAGGAAATCTTTGTAATTTTGCACATTCACTGATGCCCCACTGTGTATATTTGGCATTCAGTTTTTGTTTGTCTGCTGCTGCCTTGTCTTTGACTCTGGAGCTGATAAAAACCATTTATTTTTGCAGTGCTGCGCGGCATTAATGTCATATATGTGTAAAATCTCATCCTGTAAGTGACTGCTTGTCTCTTCGATATAGAGCATGTTTTTTCTTTGCTTTTCTTGTCTGCAAGCTTTGGCATAATGATTCCTCCTGACACTAATACTGCACATTACCCCATATGCCAGGCATTTTCCCTTAACATGTTTTTCTCCACAGTAGCCACAGGTCTTCCTTTGCACCTTGTTTATCTGCTCTGCTTTGAATTTGTGCATTTGCCTTTGCAGAAATTTTGGTGTATTTTTTTGTATTTTCTAACATTTCCTGTGCTACTTGGTGAATTATCTCTGTGACTGCTCCACTTCTGCTTGCATTTGCATGTGAACTTGTTCACTAGCTTTGTTTGTGTCTATAGATATTGGCAGAGTTAGGTGGGCTCTCTGAGCATTCTGATTAAACGCCTGCATCTTTTGTCCCTATTATGAATTTATCATGAATTAGTTAATCTGTTGAGATTTGATAATCAAATGACTCAGCCATTTTGCACAGTTTAGCAATATAGTGGTCTATTGGTTCTCCAGATTCATTCTTGATTACATTTGTTGAAAAGATACCTTTCATATCTGACATTTTTTGTGAAATGAAAATGGTATTAGCATTTTAAATGGATCCTCCTGCACTGCTACTGACATATCACAATGCTGTTGCAGCATGTGGCAGCCTTTGCCCATTTCCATTAATAGTGTGACTGCTCTTCTTTTGTTTTCCTTTTTTTCCAGTGCCATTGCAATTTTCTAGTTTTCCCATTGTGATCTAAAGATTGTCCAGTTGCTAAACACATCCACTTTGGGTCCATCTGTTCAGGAATCTGGTAAGCTGCCATGAATATTCTTTTCTTTTGGGTTTTTTTTTGTTTTGTTTTTAGGTTTTTCAATATTCTTAGTCCTTAACTTTACAGACTTGCAGGAGCCAACTCGCTGCTGACACCATGTTTCGTATTCAAGGATGAAAAGAGAGAGAGAGGTAAGACAGTGCAACATTCAGGCTTTATTACTTCCTGCACATATGCTATTCTCTCTTGTCAAAAGCATTTCCTGAAAGTAAAGTTCTCATAGTTCTTATACCTAATCATAGTATAGCATCCCCGATTTATCATAGCACACAGGAATAGGAATCCAGAGATCTGGATTCTATATCCAGCTCTGCTACTGACTTGATGATCTTGAGCAAGCCACTTTTAACCTCTCTATAACTCAGTGTCCCCATCTATAAATTAGGAGTAATAATTTCCTGTCTTGCTGAGGAGTTATGAGGCTTCATTAAAGTTTGTAAATAGCTTTGAGATCCTGAGATGGAAGATGCTATAGAATTTGCATTTAATTATGTATTTTTATGACTAAATTGTTTTGTTTTTTAATTTGAAATAGTCCATCTGGTAGAGAATACGATAGAAATCTGACTATTCGTATTTAATAGGGTAAATGGGCTGGATACTGATACCTATAAAATAGCTACTCTGAATACACAGGGAATGCTTAAAATAAGGTTTTTAGTACGCAGGCTTCATGTCTGTGCATGATGTAGGATACTGATCGTAGATTACTTTGAAGTAACTGCTCTGAAGGAGCTGGCTTGATATAGAATATTGATACACTGTAGATCACATTTCCCCTAGTTTTCTTTTTAATACTACTACACAAGAATTATTATCAGATGCTGTTATCAACAATCTGAGGATTCTGGGTTTTTTTTAATGACACAGGTAGAAACTACACACAAAAATAAAATTAGGAGTCTGGGAAAAATGATGAGCTAAGAAATTCACAATTAAAGCTTTCTCTCCACCCTTCCTTGATTTAGTATTGCTGCACTCAATGCCTATCATTATGCATTGATCATCTAGTCCAGTCCCCTGACAGGTGGGACAAATTGGAGAAAGTTCAGAGGAGAGCAACTAAAATTATTGAAGGTCTAGAAAACATGACCTACAAGGAAAGATTGAAAAAATTGGGTTTGTTGAGTCTGGAGAAGAGAAGGCTAAGGAGAGACATGATAACAGTCTTCAGGTACATAAAAGGTTGTTATAAAGAGGAGGGTGATAAATTGTTCTCCTTTACTGCTGATGACAGGACATGAAGTAATAGGATTAAATTGCAACAAGGGAGATTTAGGTTAGACATTAGAAAAAATGTCCTAACTGTGATGGTAGTTAAGTACTGCAACAAATTAGTTGGAGAGGTTGTGGAATCTCCACTATTGGAGCTTTTAACGAACATGTTACACAAACACCTGTCAGGAATGGTCTACATCGGGGTTCCCAAAATTTTTGCCGCAAATCCCTATTTTAATTATGCCATAGGACACCAGACAGCATGGATGATGCCATTTTGTAGAGCAAACTGACATCCTCTGCATAGAGTGACCTCGTACATATACGGAGGATACCATTTTGTAGAACAAAATGGTGTCTGTGAATATGGCATAACTAAAATGTGTTTTGTGCAAGATGGGTCATGTGAGGTATCACCGGAGAGGTTATGATTTACTGAATATGATTATCCTATTTGTGTGCATGTATCATTTCTGTATCTGAAGTTAAGAATATTGACTATGAAACAATTACAAGTGGCTTTACACCTGGGGAATGCCCACCAGACAGAATGCAATCAGCCTGAATGGGCCATGTGGGAGAACAATAGGACTTTGAAGTTGCTAATCTCCTATCTTCCTGAGAAGCTTCCTGGGATGCTGCAAACAACCTTTAAATCCTGGCTGCTTTGGTGCCGCAGGGTCATGTGATCATGTCACCTGGTACTGGACTCCAACCTGTACTACTAGTATTTTTCCACTAATGGGGGTGGGAATCTAGCTGGGAAACAAAAGATTCCCACCATATGTAAATCCTATTTAAGGCAGGGAAGTGAGTTAATCAGGGGTCATTTTTCACTGAATCCCCACCCAGGATGAAGGCTGGAAACATGTAAGAAACAAAGTGAAAGTGAGAGGGGTGGGGAAGAAAAGGATTGAGCTCAGGCTTGACAAGGTGTCTAGCCTGAGAAAGAAATGCCTAAAACAACATTTAGGGTGAGAAATTCCTACTTGTAACCAGTCTCTTTAATGTATTAAGCTTAGTTTGTGTGTTTGTTTTATTTGTTTAGTAATAAATTTGTTCAGTGCTTTTATCTGTTTGCTATCCCTTATAATCACTTAACATCTATCTTCTGTAGCTAATAAACTTGTTTTTGTTTTCTCTAAACCCAGTTTGTGGAATTCATAACTGGGGGGCGGGCAAAAATCTGTGCATATCTTCCTCCACATTGAGGGAAGGAGCAAATTTCATGAGCTTATGCTGTACAGATTTCTGTGCCATGCAAGACAATACAATTTTGGGTTTACATTCCAGAGAAGGTGTACATTTGAGTGCTAGGCAATTCCCTAGATGATTCTTCCCTGATTTCAGTCTCTGTGTCTTTCTGCAGCTGGGTGCGTCCCTGCCTGTGTTTGTGCTGGAGGACGCTTGAGGGCCTGGTTTATCAGCAAAGTGTAAGGGAGCCCAAGCTGGTGGAACAGGCAGGCTCAGAGGTAGATCAGGTGGCACCCCAGAATGCGGGTAACCCGTCACAGTGTCCTCCATGCATTGTGACCTTGCATGCACCGCATATGTGAGGTCATCCTGTGAGGAGCAAAATGGTGTCCTCCACAAATTAGGGATCACAGCAACCTACCTCTCATTGCTCATGTCACAACTCATAGTGTGGGAACCACTGGCCTAGACAATATTTAGTCCTGCCTTGAGGCAGGAGACTGGACTGGATGTCATATTGAGGTCCCTTCTGTGGTCAGATGTTTGGCTGCATGTGTGTGTTCTTTCTGTGTGGTGTACTGACTCTGTCCCGATAGCCTGTACAACAGGCTCCATCAAATTGCCCAATAAATCCACAGACTTGGTTCATAGCGAAGGCACTTGGTCAGTTTTATTGTCAGCGAAGCATGGTTCTAATGTCCTGGCTCAAGTTTTACAGGTACACTAACACATGTATGCCCATTGCATTGGACTAGCTCAGTTAATGGCGGGATTTTCCATTATTCCTTAGGCCAGCCAAAGACACTCCCTCTGAGATCCATCTTTATACACCGATACAAATAAGTTATGTATTGCCCCTCTGACGTATTTGGGTGCCACCCTCTAATGCATTTTGGTGCCACCCATTACCTTGTATATGTTGGTTCGATCAGAATATTTCTGTCCATCATGCTATCATCCTGACCGTATCTTTAGGATGGGTCAGTGTGTTCTTGTTATCTTTCAGGAATGTGTTTGGTATTGAGGTGTTCTGGTACCACCTTTCTGGAATGTGTTTGCTTATATATCTTTACGCCGAGCACTACTTAGGAATGTGTGTTTCTGCAATATCAGCCCTGTTCTTACCAGATTCTGTGAGCAGGGCTTGCCTCTTGCTCATAACTTCACTTTGCTTTATATTAGCAAGTTTTGACCATTACTTTAGCCCAGGTCTCTGATACAAGGGCTTATGTTTCAGGCCCTCTTCCAACTACACCTTCCAGTCCTAAATTCTATGATTCTAAATAGGAATTTTGGAGTCTAATTTCAGGCTTCCATTTTTAGTATCTTGGACACACAGATATATGGAGAATCTCTCTGTCTCTCTCACACACATAATATACACAGATGTGTGTGCCTCTATTATAAATGCATACCTATATACATATATGTACATTTCCAAACATAAAACTATACAAAGAGTATAAAACTGTACAAAACTATACATTACAGCTAAGTAATATATCTGTTAAATATATAGTTTGCTCCTTGACAATTTACAAATTGAAGTTCATTACATAAATGAAAGAAGGCATTCATTAAGGCTTTGGTTGTATGCAATAACTGCTGATAAACTAAATTAACCATTTAGAATCCATCATCAAAGCATAAACTGGGTATTCTGAAACAACCTGCCAAAGCTGCTGTGATAATGAATATTTTTGTCAGGAACTTTGGAAGCTGCTGATTTTGGTGTTATTGACCTGCCTAGCTTTTTGTTCAGAATCTGATGGATCCTTGGGGAGAGGTGTCTGCAGCACTGATGGAGAACTGGTAAATAGAGCTTCTCTGCACTGAGACCCCTGGATTTCTGATATTTTTGAAAGATAGGCTCTTGATGAGAGTAGTAGGGGTCTAGTGATTTATACCTTTATGCCAAGCTCCAGATAAAGTCAGGTTGCATTCTATCAGCTGTATTGAAAAAAGCTATTACTTTCCCATTTGGTGATAAATTCTAGGAAGAGGGATACATTTTATTAAAGGACCTATATATGATATTGCTTCTGAAAAAACGCCTAAGAATAAATATTAGGACAGGAACATATATTGAATGCAAATGGCCCAGCCACTGTCCCCATTGTCACCACTCATTCATTCACTTAATTGTATAATAAGCATCGCTATCCACACATATAAACTATATTAAATTAATGCAAAGGTTCTGGCCTAAACTGCCATAAACGAGAAAATTCTGAGTTAAAACATGTTAGAAAAATGGATTGTATGTCTAAATGCTTAGGTAGGGGAATTCAGAGCCTTTTACTTATAGCTTACTGTATCAAAGCCAACCAAGTTGATAAATATCAAAGGTCATTACTGAAGCTGAGTGAACTATTTGTAGTGAATTCTCAGTAACTTTCTCCTTTTTCTATTTACTAATGGTTTGTGTGACAATTTCCTGCAATATCTTTGGGAGATCTTACTGTATTAATTTTATGTATCATTATGGGCCAGGGATTGTATGTGATTCCATAGGGGAGGGTGACCAGAGCTTTCCAGGAAGTAAGAACAGTGGCAAATTGAGCAGGTCGTAATGCCTCCAGAGAGGGTCCACTTGGAGGCTCACATACACTGGTTCAAACTGGTTTCTCCGGAGACCAGTAAAGAACGGACTTTTGTATATGAGTTTAAATTGACTCAGGGACTTCTTTCTGGTCCAGTAATCTTCTGTCTAAAGGGG